GGACAGTGACTCATGAGGACCGACAGTGGTGCCTCTCCCCTGCCGCACTCAGGTGTGAGGCTCACCCCTTGCCAGGTAACAGGAGGGCAACCCTCAGGAAGTCATCCGTGTGGCAGAGCAGCCTGGGACTGCCCACGGGCCGGGCAATCAACCTGCCAGGCGGGCTGGCCTCGGATGAATGGTGCTATACGCCACATTCCTTGGCCATGATATGCCCTGGTGACAGGGCCAGAGCTCAGGTTGCTGACGTCTGTCCACCCTTCGCGTTTGGTTCTAGCTACAGTGACAGCTGAGTAGGCTTAAGATGCAGGTTAACTACGTGCCTGAGGCCAGGTGAAGGCCTGGTCACAAAAGGTGCCAGTGGGGCGGGGCTGGCCTCCCTGTCTGCTTCATTTCCCGCGTAGGTCCTCCAGGTGATCCAGGCAAAGCACTGCTTGGCCACCTTTGAAATCTTGTTCTCTGCAGACCTTATTTTGCCAGGAAGTTGCTGGCCCAGCTTTGGTCAGGTGGGCTGAGATTTCCACTCTGTACGCAGCCTACTCGCTGCAGCCCTGCCCTGGGCTGAAAGCGTAGCCTCAGTGGCTCCACCACACAAGGAGCCTCAGTGGACCGATGGAGGTTCGTTCAGCCCATGATGTGCCCATGATATTCATCTACAAGATTCACCTGGAAGTAGGGTGACTGACCATCCTGGTTTGCACAGGACTGAGGAATTTTTCAGGATGCAAGACCTTCAGTGCTCAAACCAGGACAGCCCCAGCAAATCTGGATGGTTGATCACCCTCCCTGGAAACCTGCCACCAGAAGGACGTGCTCTCCCTGCTGGGACTCTGTGTCCTTTCAAGGGAACCATGCATTTCTTTGTCTTCTCTTTTTTTTTTCTTTCACAATTACAGACTTTACAGAAAAGTTGCAAGAATAATTCAAAGAACTCCCAGATACCCTCAAGTGTTAATGTTTGACTACATTTGCTTTATCTGTTTTTCTCTCTCTCAACCATTTAAGTTGCAGACATAATGCCTCTTTACTTAAATACTTCAGTGTATATTTCCTAAAAACAAGAAATTCTCTTTTATAACCAATATGTAATGATCACAATCAGGAAATTAATGTTGAAACAATGCTACTATCTAATCTACAGACTATAGTGGGATTTTGTCAATTGTCCCAAGAATGCCCTTTATGGCAAAAGAAAAGCTAAGCTTAGGTGTTGCATTCAGTTGTCACTTCTCTTTAGTCTTCGGTCTAGAACCATCCCTGGGTTCTTTTATGTATTTTATGATGTTGACATTTTTGAAGAGGACCAGCCAGTTGTTTTGCAGAAAGAAGAACCCTCCAGCAGTGCCTAGCACATAACTGGCCTCTAATAAGTGCTTCCACATATCGAGTACCTACTGTGTTCCAGGCTCTTCCAGTACATTCATCTTTTCAGCAACTCTTTGAGGGACAAAGTGATATGATTATCCTCATTTTACACGGGAGGAAACAGGCTCAAGGAGGTTAAGGGCCTTGCCTGAGGCTACTCAGCCAGTGAGAGATGGCCCCAGATTTTAACCTCAGAGCCCACTTTTGTAGCCACTGGACCACTGTGCTCTGGGACATTTCCTTGGTATTTTTGGCTGTTTCTTTTAACTTCTGGAACTCTGAGGTCAGCAAATTGTCCAGGGCGCCAGCCAGCCCCAGCCTATAACTACCCCCATCCCCACCCCATGCACCTATAGACGTAACAGAGATAACAAAGCTGACCTTTCCCCCAGGCCTACAAGAAAGAAGAGTGGCAATTACTTCAGTACATTGGAGAGATTGCCAGAAAACGGGCATAGAAGATTACAGGGTAAAAATTCTCCATTGAGTCTAAAAACCCCTGCCTCCTAATCTGAGTCCCTGTTATGGGCTGGGGCAGGATGTGGACTGAGGAATTTTTTCCAGATCTGGTCCCTCTAGCATTGGCTATAGCTGAAACAGCTCACTTGGCCCTGCCCCCTACCCTCTCTTGGGGTCTGGTCACCTTCCTCCAGGAAGTCCTCCCTGTTCTGGCCAGCCACAAAAAAAAAGAAGAAGAAGAAGAAAAGGAAAAGCCCTCTTGCCAAGACAGAGACTCAAGCAGACCCAGAACCGAGTTCTGGCTTGGCCACTAGCCAGCAGGGTGAGCTTCTGAGCCTCAGTTTCCTCCTCTGGAAAAGCAGAGGTACCAGTAGCACCTACTTTGTGGGGCCCTGTGAGTATTAAATGAGCAGGTGCTGGGCTGCACCTGGAGCCCTGCCCAGCATGGGGCTAACAGCGGGGCTAGACTGTGCCTGCATCTCACCCTTCTTGGCTGGGAGCAACCAGAGGAAGAGCACACACCGCATCTGGTGCTGCCTCCCCAGGCTCCATAGCTCAGCTGTGAGCTGGGGAGGGAGGGGAGTCTAGTGGAGTCCTGACCTGGATTTTCTCCACTTTATAACCACTCAAACAGCTGGCCTTGCTGCTGGCAGAGAACAGTCAGAGGACTAGGGGCTGATACCTGAGGAGGTGAATTTAAGCGGAAGATTTACAATACCTTTTATGAGCTTGGCAGGTGTAGCTGAAGTGGGTGTTATCAGTAAATACAACAATGTCATTGATTACACTGGGTAAATAGCCTTCCACTGGCTTAGTAAAGCCTTGGAATATTCCCGTTAGATCCTCATTTGGAGCTGACATAGTGGAGTATGTTGAACCTGGGGACAAAAGACCTGCCACTCTTTAGCTGTGCCAAGTTAATTAATGGAGCCTCTGTTTCCTTTGTAAACTGTAAACCAGGCCCCTCAAGGTTGTGTTGGCAAGAAGAAAATGCGATGATGGCCAGGAGAAGCTCTGAATGATGAACCATTGGGGCCCTGTGAGAAGAAGAAGATGATGATGATGATATATGAGACAATATAGTCTGGGTTCTAGAATCAGAGAGGCTGGGTTCCAATTCCAGCTGTGTGACCTCTGGCAAGTTGCTTAACCTCTCTGAGCCTCTTTTCTGTAAGATGGAGGTAAGAACAATATCAGACTTGTTGAGAGGATTGCGTGTGATATATTGGGTTGAATAATGTCCCCCCCCAAATTCACGTCCACCTGGAACCTGTGAATATGACCTAATTTAGAAATAGGGTCATTAGGCCATATTGGGTTGAATAATGTCCCCCCCCAAATTCACGTCCACCTGGAACCTGTGAATATGACCTTATTTAGAAATAGAGTCATTAAAGCTGGATACAGAGGTCATATTGGATTAGAGTGTGCCCTTGATCCAATATGACTGGTGTCCTTCTAAGAAGAGGGAAATCTGGACACAGAGACACAGAGAGGAGAACACCATGTGAAGACAGAGACAGAGAATGGAGTGATCTGCCTACAAGACAAGGAGCAACAAAGATGGCCAGCAACCACTAGAAGCTGGAAGAGACAAGGAAGGATTCTTCCCTAGGGCCTTGAGAGGGAGTGTGGCCCTGCTGAAACCTTGAATTTGGACTTCCAGCCTCCAGAACTATGAGAATAAATTTC